TTCAGCCATTCCACGCTTACACTGCATCTTGGATTTTTGTTTTCTAATACTGATAATCTGAAAGTTTGAACAGGTCAAATGCTCATGTGAAGTCTACAAACTGTTTTTTTTTTTTTTTTTTTTTTTTTTTTTTTTTTTTTGAGTTGGCACAGCTAATGTAGCATTCACGCTCCCCTCGGACAGTTCAGTTTCTTATGTTTTGTGTCCAGAGAAGATAGAGGCTCTGTCTGTATTTGTGCTGGAGAACACTTGAATAAATGTCATGTTTTTGTGCAAAACTCTGACTCCTTTTTTCATGGTTTTTTTTAGTTTTTTTGTTTTCTGGTGGGAGACTGGGAGATCAAATGAAAGAGAAAACACACCAAAGTTCTTGTAGAGGTGCTCATGCAACAAACAGCAGTTTAAAAGTAAATAAAATGCATAGTGGTCCAAAGCAAGAAAAATGATCTGATGAAGGATTTTTGCAGAAACATTATTAAAAAAAATAAAAATTGGACATCGACCATGTGAGAGTGCTAGGGAGACTAGGCTGCTCTACAAAAGCAAAAGATCTTAACTCTCCAGAGTGTGAAACTGAGAAAAATGACTTCAAAGTTTCTGTTTTGTCCAGACAAAAGTAGAATAGGCAGGACTCCCAAAATCTGACAACTAGTTGATATAATGAAGAAATATTTGTATGTGAAAAATATTGAGCTCAGAATTGACCTTTGACCTTATTTATCAGTTCCTGTATCTGCCTTTGTTTTCAGTTTTCATGCAGAGGCCAAAGGCAGAAACTCACCTGATCATTATTTGTTTGATTTTCTTCAGACTTCCATCCATTAGAATAAAAACACGTCACCAAGCTCCAGTCATCATGTATCTGTCTGAAATGATCTAGAAGAGTTTTGGATTATCTGTTTAGCAGAGGTGGGACCAAGTCATTGTTTAGCAAGTCTCAAGTCTTTGACCTCAAGTCCCAGTCAAATACAGGCAAGTCCAAGTCGAGTCTCGAGTCACTGACCCATAAATCCAACTCAAGTCCAAGTCGTCTGCTCTGAGCTTCAAGTCATTTCAAGTCTTTAAAGCAAAAAAAGTACCAAATATGAATATATAAATACAGTTTAGCAGTTTTTATGAATTTTAAACAAAAGTGTATTTACAAAGTCCAGGTGTATTTCTATATGAGTATTTATATAAGAGTTGTAGAAATATTAATCCTTCCTTTTTAAACGTCTTACAAGATCTAAGTGTGAATCATTACAGTCAGAAGAGAAAGAATTCTGATTTTAAAGTGTTTCATAACAGTTATTTTGTAATGAAGGATCATCTTCTATGTAGTTCCCTCTGTTTTATTGTATTGTACTGTATATTACTGTAGTACATTTGAGGATACCATCTCACAGTACTTCAGTTTCATCCAAAGTACCAAACAGAAGTGGAAGGGACATGTTCCAGTTTGTTCTTGTAAAATGCAGCACCACATTTATCAACATTTATAAAGAGAAAAGTAGAGAAGCATCAAGTCACAACTCAAGTCTGAGTCAAGTCCCAGGTCATTGAGCTTCAAGTCCAAGTCAAGTCCCAAGTCTTATTCCATTTTATCAAGTCAAGTCTCGAGTCCTAAAAATAGTGACTCGAATCCAAGTCACAACTTGCATTTCCCACCTCTGGTATTTAGTGGTGATCAGGGTCCTGCAGCAACACTCACAGAGTGAAACAGTTTAACACAAGTGACTTTGCAGTAGAGTGTGTACAATATGAATAAATACACACAATACTTTCACATTAAAGATCACTGAAGTATAACTGACTCCTATAACGACTCCTTATTTTTGGCTCATGATACAAAGGCAAGAACTGACAAATAAGGTCAAAGGTCAATCTTGAGCTCAATATTTTTCATATTTTTCATTTATTCACATGATAAAGGAGGTTTCAAATACCCTTAAAATGAACAAGTAGGAGATGGTTCTGCAAGTCTGGAATGTTCCAGTGTACGGCATGAAAACACTTCTTGCACGTATATCATTTTTAAAGTGAAAAAAAACATGCTGTTTCCATGCGTTTAATGCCTTACAGTAGAACATTCTAGACAAAGCAATATCCTCTCCATGAAGACAAGCAAGAAGACCCTCCAACAGAAAAGTTACACAGTGCATTTTTAACTTCTGAACATGAATTTTGAGAATTTGAAGTCTGTCAAAACAAAAAAACTGACAAAGTGTTGTGCAAAATGTCATTTTTTGTTGCTTAAAATATTCTGTGAAAAGTTTGCTTATGTGTTCCCTCTCCACAGATCTGACCTGTAACTTTGTCTTGGTGGTACTGCCTGCTCTTCTCCATGGAGATGTAAAGTTTAACAGTGCACTGTGTAACTTAACTTTTTGGTTGAGGGTCCATCACCTGTTTGTTTCTATGGAGATGTCATTGCTCTGCCTGGAATGTTCCACAGTGTGACATTAAACAGATCTACTTTACAATTATTCAATTACAGGTGGCTTTATAACTCAAAAATATCTAGAAAAACAGACACTGACTGTGAGCGGGGTCACCTCTCCACAGATCTGACCTGTCACTTGGTCTGGTTTGGTCTCCATGAAGATAGAAAGGTTTAATGCCACACTGTGAAACATTCCAGACAAAGTTATAACATTTACATGGAGAAAAGCGTTTGATGGAGCCTCCACCAGAAAAGTGACACAGTGCAGCTTTAAAGTGGCTGCACCAGACTGTGTTGAGTGGATCTGAGTAAAAGTAGTTTTACTTCAGTACACATACAGTCTGTGGTAGAGCAGCTGTGGGGACATTAGACTGGTGTGTGCATCTGTTTGTGATTATAACGTGTTTCAGTCTCACAGAATCAAGAAGAGAATAATTACTGTGTTTGGAATCCATTATGAACCTGAGGAAGAACTCTGGACCCCTGCAAACCCGCGAAAATGAACCAGTCCTGTTTTTCACGTTTTAAGACACGAAAAGTCACTTACAGACACTTTAATGTCATTCCAGGTAAAACAATAACATCAACATGGAGACAAGCAGACACAAACTCCACAAGAAAAGTAATAGTGTTTTTGTTTGTTTGTTTAATTTTACAAGATTTAGTTTTTGGTGTTAGATATTTTTGATTTGTTTCAAGGTTTTTTATGACCTAAATCTTACATTATTTATTTGCAAAGAAGATCGAGGTTCTAAAGTCTAAAGTTAAATCCTATCTGAAAGTGATTTTGGCTCAAGATAGAATTATACAAAACTAATAATAGTGAAAAATGTGTGGGTTTTGCTCAAAGGAGACAGGAGTCTTTTGTATCTGTTCTCATATTATTTTGTTAGTCTAAAAATATGAATAATCCCATTTATTTAGGATGTTGCACCATTTAAGATAAGTAAGTATTTTCCTTCTTTAAATAGAACTCAGTAGACTCCAGTTCTGAACTCTACATCAACCACGTCTGCGTGCGTTTGGAGACATGTCTCGTTCCTCCCCTGGCGGTGGTACGGTCCCCTCGAGCCGGACACGCCCTGCGTCAGTGCTGATTGGTTGATTGGAGACGGGGTCGTGGTGCGTCGCGTCGGATTGGAGCGTCTTTACGTCGCACGGCGGGATGCCGCGAGGAGCGTCAAGAACACGAGAAGAATCAAGAGCACAGGAAGTGCTCGGCAACAAAATACAAGAGAATAATCACGGATGGAGTTTGGATCCAACCTTTTTGTTGAGGAGATAAAAATTCAAATATTTTTGTCTTTACCGTCACATGGGCCTCTGCACATGTGTGACATTACACAAAAGGTTCATTATTAGATTATCAGATTTCAGGCCTATTTCCATTTTCAAGCAGAAATGGGTCTGAATAAAGAGTAGGGCACATGCTTGTTCAGAGTTTTATTATTATAAAACTTGAACTTGCATTCTTCACTGATAAAGAATTTTTTTTGTTTTGGTTAAGTGACGTCATCTTTACATCTCCAAACATCAGAATGTTCTGTTGTGATGTCATGAAGCAGTTGTTTTTAAGTGAACAGCTCCTTTTGTACATTCCAAGGCTGAAATCATCTGTGTTTTCTATTGAAAAGAAGAACTCTACAGGGTTTGTGTCTTAAACAAAACCCAGGTGTGATGAAGAGAAGAGGTTGCACACTTCATAAAAAATTGGTCATAAATAAGTTCAGAAGTAGCAGTGCAGGTCCACGAGGGTTAAACTTGAAATCTTAACAAAATGTAGTCCTTACTGAAAAATAAAAGGTGAGCGAGGCACAAACAATAAATAGTTACTCCCACTGGCACCTCACTGTGGCACCTGATTTTCACAGTGTCTCCCATCCAAATATTAACCAAACCAGACCTGCTGAGCTTCTGAGATCTGACAGGATCAGACTTTGACAAGCCGGTATGACCACACATGGAGACATCTGTCCCAGTGAGGGACACAAGGACACTGGACAAACTGTTCTTCATCATGACACTCCTGCTCAGCCACTGCACCACACTATAGAGGGACATATAATACTCCCTACAACTGTACAGCAACTCACCCTTATTTAACAAATAATACTCCCTACAACTGTACAACTCACCCTTATGGAACACATAACCCTGTGTCCTGTCAATCATCAGATCATTGTTGCACAGTCTTCCTGTGACTTCTTGTATAGATGAAAGAGAAGAGAAGGTGAAAACATCAAAACATCAACATCTATTAAGGAATTACCAAGAAAGTTTTAAAAGTCTCCAAGTTTGTTTTTGATGAACATTATAACAGATCAGAAAACAGTTTATATGCTCTTTAAACCTGTTAGGGTTGGATAGTTGGTGAGTTGTTACTTTAGTATTTGGCTCCTTAAGTAAATGTTGTAATAAAACTAGAAGGCTGCAGTTAATTTAAAATGTGACGGTTTCTCATCAAGTGCTTTTATTTATAACCCCAAACCCGGAAGTGCCTCTCCTCGTTGCGCGGTGACTTGACGTCGGTGATGCTGCGCCGGCTGCTCCCAGACCGGCTCCATCTGCTGCGGATCTGCTTGGGAAGTGCCATCCGCTCATCGTAGCCTTGTTCCCGTCACAAAGTCCCAGCCCCACGGCCCTGGAGCGAGAGACCCGAGCGGAGCAGTGAACACAGCAGCAGCAGCAGCGCGACTCACAAGGTATGCACTTTAACGCTTTTACGCACGTTTTTATCCAAACCTAACGCTCAGTTTTGCGTGTAGACTTTGTTCCCACGCCCCCTTGGCTACCGTAGGCTACGTCTGGGTGGCGTTTGCTATTTATGATGCCATCCTCCGCGTCCGTACACACCCTCAACCCAATTTGCCACTACTTTACGCACGGAGATGCTCAATATTGACCGGTTCTCGTAAAGTAACGCAATTAAAATCAGACATTAAAAGGATTGGATTATAGAAAGGATTTGGAGATTGATGATCGGTTTGTGGGTCGATTTAAACACCAAAACAGCCGGGTGGAGAGAGGGCTTCCTTTGTCAAGACGCACAAGTCAAGTGTCATGATTTCAGCGTCTGCTCTTACGCAGCAAAAAGAGCCGTGCCCGGTTTACTCTTGCAATATACAGAGGGTGGGAATGGAAATTATGAAGCAAGTCTATATAGAAGCAAGTTATGTTATAAAACTGGGGTGTGTGAGTGAAAGGGAGCTGGGAGAAATGGTTAAAAGTCCCATGTCAGACTATTTTCTGATCTCTGTTATAATATAGTTTCATCATCACAAACAAACCTGGAGTTGTGTTTTGTTTTGTTTCATTCACATGTTTAACACACAAACCTGCACATTTTATTTAGGTTGTATTTCTCTCTCAAACTCAAAGCACTGTGTTCCACCTTGTGATGTCATGTGGTAATACTAGAAGTGCTCCACTGTGTTTTTAATTTCCACACACCTTCAACTAGAATCATGTGGATGATTTCAGCTCTTCAGTTCAGCTTTAGTTCAGCTCTCTCCTGAACTAAAGGTAAAAGGAACTGTTCACTTGAAAACTACTGCTTCATGACATCACAAGGTGAAACAGAGCATTTGGAGCTTTGGAGATGTAGACAGACTCATAATAAAGAGTTACTCAAACATGTGAATGAAACAACACACAAGTCCAGGTGGAAATGAGCTGGAAGGTCTCCCTGAACTGTAGAAACTAAGTTAGTTAATCTATATACATAAAGATACATAAAAAAAATAAATAAATAAATAAATTCTTTCATTATTTATATTGTATTAATTAAAATATGAAGTTACAATATACAAGTTACAATATATCTCAAAAGTGGATGATTTTTGAACAAATTTTGTAGCTTTCTAAGTTTCTTGTGTTGTGCTGCTTACAAACTATGTTCATGGCAGCAGGTAAGAACTTTATTAATATTTCTTCCCAAATCAGCAGTAGATAGGGAACAAAAAAATATTCAAAATAGGATTTCATTGTAAACCTCTGTGAGCAAATGAAGATTTTATTATGACATAAACAAAGCCCGACATTTGCTCTGGTACATTCACATTCATTTTATTATGATAAAGAAGCTGATTTTCTAACTCAATACATCACAGTTACGCAGCCGACTAAAGGCTGGAGAGAACGTCCTCCCTCTCCCGGGCACAGCAGGTACCCGTGTGCCACCCAAGAGAAGGGGGCACCAGGAGGGAGGAGGGGGACGTTCCTGCTGAGAGAATGGGACGCTCATACTGGGACTTTCAAGCCACTTAAAGTCATTTCTGTGGCATATAAATTCTTTAATAGTTGGTGTAAAATTGTGATCAGTGAGAGTTGAATGTTTTTTCTTTATTATTTAGCCATTTGGATTTTGTTTTGTGCAGTGGCTTCAATCATTAAAACCTTCATTAAGAGGCACTGGGACTGTTTAAGATTTTCCCCTGAAGTCGTTATGCAAATGTGCTGTTTTGCATTTCAATTATAGTTTGATGAACACGATTTGAAACCACAATAAAACTGTAACGCAGCTGTTTTCTCTGGATTTTACCATCAACACCTCCATGTGGTTATTTAATGTTTATTTACACTGGAGATGGTATTGCTTTGTTTGGAATGTTCCACGGTGTTTCATTAAACTTCTATTTTGCTCATAAATTCCTTGAAAAACCTTCTTTCTCACGCTGAGTTGGTTCACCTCTCCACAGTTCTGACCTGCTTGTCTCCAGGGCGATAGATGCTGTTGATATACAGACTGTGGAACATTCAGAGCAAAGCAAACAATGTCTCCATGGGAACAAAAAGGTGGTAGACTAGAAAAGTTCCACTGTGCACCTTTAACTTGGATTCAGTTCCCTTCACATTTTCGTCTTCTATCGCTCGTGCTGTTTTTGTAATGATGCTTTGCTCTTAAACCTGCTCCATCCTCTTCATGTGAACGCTGCATTATGAGACTGATTTGGGCACAGACGTGATGGTCAGTACATAGATAATAAACAGTGCTAACTACTCTGCTACTGTTCACACAGAAACAAACTTTGTCACTGCAGCGTTTGCTAAAAAGACCGTAAGAATAAGTGGGAATATTATAGTGAGATTGTGGAAGCTGATCCACGTCAAACCTGTGAGACTTACCAAAGTCTAAAGCCTCCATCACAGCTTTAAGTACAGGAGTATTCAGACGTCCAGAAGAGTAAGACTTGAACATGAATAATGGCTCGAGTATTTCAAAAAGATGTTCCAACAAAAAAGCACAACTTTACATACATACATAAATACATAAATATAAATACATACATTTTTACAATTGCAGTGTTAAGAAAACAACAACTCATAGACCCAAGTTTTATCAAGAGTTGAACAAATGCTCAGAGTTTCTTTCCTGGTAAAGTGCACTGCATATTAGAGGGGGAAAAAATCATCAGAGGGGAGTTAAAGAGGCTCTTTTTGCTAGGAAAGACAATCCTTCCTTGAACAGAAATGGAGGCCTCGGACATCATCTGTCTCCATCTACAACTCCATGATCAGACCTAAAACAAAAAGAACAACATGGAGATGCAGGTCAGGTCCAGACGTGTGAAAACACTTATTATGGGCCGGAATGATTCTGATTCTAATATGACCCCACACACCATACAAACGAACAGCGCTAACTACAAACAGAAACTGTAAACATGTGTGTGTTAGTTTCAGAGGAGTTTCAGTGTAGTTAGCTCCTCCTTCAGACAGATATAAGGAAGTGTCCACCAGCATCTGATCACAACTGAAGAAGCAGCTTGGATGAGTTGAGAAATGTTTTTGACCTAAATAAACACTTGACCAGTTGATAAATTGAATTCCTCTTTTGATTCTACCTGGACGACTGACGGATTCTACACATGAAAAAGTCATATACATAATAATAACAACCTGTGGTTTCTGTTTGCATCACTATTTAACCAATCATCTTAAATCCTAAATCTGCAGGGTTTATTTGTCCATTTGGTTTATTAAAGTTTCAGTCCTGCTCTGGATCATGTGACTGTAGTTCCAGAATGCACAACATAAATAGAAACATTATCTAAAAACACAGGCTCACGTTAGAATCAGAATTAAACTCTAAACTTTGTCCAGAATATTACTTTCAAACCTTTTGCTGTTAAGTAGTCATAGTAACAGTAGCAGTAATAGTAGTAGGTGTTGCTGTAGTAGAAGTACTTGTAGTGATAGTAGTAGTTGTTGTGGTAGAAGTACTTGCAGTAATAGTAGTAGTAGAAGTTGTAGTAGTAGGAGCAGTACACACCAAGCTCAGTCTTGATTCAGCCATTGTTCCGCTGGAGTCATTTATCAGATCTGTGCCATGCAGCAAACTCCAGCCGCGCCCTCCTCCTCCTCCTCCTCCGGAATGATTTCACCGGAGAGAGAGAACCCACAAGAGAAAAGAAAGAGGGAGAGGGAGCAGAGAGGGGGTGAAAAAAAAAAAGAGAGGGAGGGGAGAGATGCAAGAACTTACAAGAAGAGGAAAGAGGAGCAGATGAGAGGGACAGGTTGAAAGGATGGAGAAGGGGGAGAGGAGAGAGGGAGGAGTCAGGGAGGAGAGAGAAAAGAGAGAGGAGGAGGGAGGGAGGTCTTACTGGTAAGGGTTAAGGTGAAAGACGGAGGGAGGGAGGGAGGGAGGGAGGGAGGGGTGGAAAGCAAAAGAGAGGGAGGAGGAGAGAGATGAGGTCCTGCAGAATAGCATGCACAAAGGGGAAAGAAAGGTGGGAAAGAGAGGGGGAGAAAGGGAGAGAGAGAAGACGAACAAGAGGAAGATGGGAGGAGAGAGAGAGAAGAGAGACAGAGATGGGATAATGATGGCAGCCTACATAAGGAGGAGAAGGGGAGAGGGATGGAGGGAGGGAGAAAAGGAGGAGGAGAGAGGGAGAGAGAAAGAGGATAAGGAAGAAGAGATGATGCCAACAGACAGGTATGGAGAGACAGGAGGAGGAGGAGAGAGAGGGAGAAGAGGAGGAGAGAGAGGGAGAGAGAGACAGGACAATGATGGCAGCCTACAGAAGGAGGAGACGGGGAGAGGGATGGAGAAAGAGGAGGAGGAGGAGGAGGGAGCAGGGTGGGCTTTTGTCAGACAGAATGCTTAAACAGTGACAGTAATTGTATTCGGGTGTATTGAGGAGACAGTAAATAGAGACATAATGAGAGAATAGAGTGGTCCAGCTCTCGTACACTTGATTGTTTTTGCAAAATGTCACGAGACGGAGCTCAACACAATCCTGCATGTCCATTGTTTTGTACAGAAGAGTAGAATTACACCAATACTACAAATACTACTCCGGTTAGTTGTTCTGCTATAACTACTCATTTATGACAGACAGAACTCTTCAAATACTCATAAATGGACAAAGCTAATCTGCTGCTGCGTTCCAAACTGGAAGTGTTCATGGACGCACTTCTGGCTCCATCGACTCTGGCCCCAGTTCACTTTGTACTGAAAAAATGTCTCCTTGTCATTTTGGCTTTTTGGCTTTTAAAATGTCCATATTAACCCGCTCCACATGATCCTGCTGTTTTTATTTCACTTTTTTGTCTAGAAATAAATTCCTGTTCCTAGTGTAGAACTTGACCCCGAGTTCGCTTCAATAGTCTTTATTCACACTTACGTCACAAACCAGGAAGATGTTTTGGAAACATGTGATGACAACTTCCTCTGGGCTCTGTTCGTGGTAGTAAATCTGATTAAATGTTGGAAAAATGAGAAAATGTCCCAGTTTTCTTCATCTCCATGTCATTGTAGTGTTCCGTTGTGTTCAGCGAATCAACAATTCCAACCAACCTCAGTTTTCATCATTTCCCCACTGACACACAACTCTCACAACAGCCGATAACATAATAATGGTCAATAATGTAATAACTGCCTGTAACTTAATACTTTTAATGTAATAAAGCCAATAATGTAATAAAATGTCTGAACAAATAACGCAATAAGTTATTACATTATTGGTTCATTATTACATTATTGGCTTGTTATAAAACTGCTGCCAGTAATGTAATAACTGTAATAATAATTTCTTAATATCATTTAAAAGAACAGTATGTAAGAAAAAACTGTAAATTAATCATAAAATGACCCTGATATCAGCAGACATTAAGGAATCATGATCATTTTCAATCCTTTTATCACTGACCACAGTAATCCAGTCTGAATATTCCCTTTCCCATGGAAACTGCAGCCCTCAGTTTATGTTGATGTTGTCATTATGTGTATATGATGTGTTTGGGCTGTTGCACCACTCTCCACCTCCACCTCCACCTCTGAGTTCGGACACCGTGCTGGGGACCTGTTGTCTGGGAGGGGATACTCTGTTCTGCAGTATTTCAGACGTGATTGTAGTATTTGGCCACAAATTTACTTGCTGTTCCTTTAATTCTTTTAGATTAATTAGTTGAATTTAAAGTGTCACACTGTGAGATAAATTGTTACTTTGGTCTCTTTCAAATAGCTGCTTAAGTACCTGAACACCATGGACTCTCTCTCAGTGTCTTTTTATAGTCGGCCTGTGCCTCTTACAGGGAACAGTTATTATTATTATTTGGGCTTTGATATGTATCTTCCTCCTTAGAATTTAGAACTATTTGTTTATTTAACTTGATGGTTACAGTTATTTCTTTCAGCTCCAGGACATGAAGGTACAGACATACATGTATATGTTTATATATTCAAACAATGACTCACATGTAAAGAGCACAATGAAATGTAAATGTGAGTATTCTCAAATCATGAAAACATTCTTTCATTTACATTTTTAAAATAATGTAATAAGTTATTACATTCTTGGCATCAGGTTATTACGTTATTGGTTCAGACATTTTATTACATTGTTGCCAAGTTATTACATTATCCACTTTATTACATTAAAATGATTATGTTATAGGCAGTTATTATATTATTGGCCATTATTACGTTATCGGCTGCTACAAGGCACCAAACTCCAGATGATTCCAAACAGCACATACGTCTGCAGTCCTCATTTTACCACTGATCACTTTTACTTCAGTGGGTTTGATCACAGTCGGTCGAGTCCAGTGTCTGGAACTACACCGGAAGTTTCATCACATCTTTCCAAACGTCTTCCTGGTTTGTGACGTACTAGAGTACTGTACTAGAGCCTTTACTGAAAAAACCTCTCTGCACCTGCTGCTGTGAGCGTTGTCATTTTGGTTTAAAATGTTCATATTATTTATTTTATATTATTTATTTATTATTTATTTTGCTATTTTGTCTAGAAAAACCTGGCTCTACATTCACTCGTATACCTGCTTCATTTGACTTGTGCTGAATGCTGTAGGTGATGTCACACTCCCTTCACTTCTTCTTCTTCACTTCACTTCTTACTTCTCTATCTCTATGACATTCATGAGATTTTACGTTGGTCTGTCACGAGCACAAAGCATGAAATATCTCTACAGAGAAATACTGCGATAAACGACAATATTAAAACTGTTTTACAATAAAGAATAATACTGGCGGCTGCTTGCTGGGTCCAAAGACAAAGACCGTCTGAAGAAGGACTTGACCTGAAACTTCACATTGTGTTGTCATTAAAATAAAAAATTGGGAGCTTAAAAGATCTGCAGTGTGGATCTCGTTCTTCTTGAGCACAATAAATAAAAAATACAAGATCATCTGTGTGAACCATCACCATAAACCACTCAGCTTTCATATACTGAACATAATTTGGTGTAGTAATTATCGTGAAAGGTCTAATTGTGCCTTGTACACAGAGGAAAAGTGACTAGTCATAGTTCCAGAGTTTTCCTGGAGTATTGTTCCTCCATTGTCCTCTCAGTCTCCTCTCATTGGCTGTTGTCTTGTCCAGTATTGTCCGTGGTACAGACTGTCACTGCTCAGGCTTAGGTCACTCAGAGCGTCCACAGAGCACCAACCTCCACAAGTATCTGATCTACTCTAGTACTACTACAGTCCAGATCTCTGCTGTACTCAGAACTACTGCAAAACTGCAAAATGAGGTAGGAGATCTGTATAGAACCATCCGATAGCCTTTTAATGTGGTCCTTTTTTATATTTATTCCATTTTAATCTCAGTTATTCATTATACAATTTTTCTTTTATGTCACCAGTTTGTGCGTCTGGACATATAACTGCTTTGCCTGTAATGCTCCATAGTAAGGCATTAAATTTAACTTTAACCTTATCTTGCAGCCCAGTGTGGCAGGCAAAAAAAAAAAAAATTCTTGTCTTTTTTTTTCTTTTTCTGCATGCCACTCAGGGCTTCCGAACATTTGTATTGCTCAAGAGCACAATGAAAAACCTGCATTCTTTAGGCAGAATTATAGTTTATGTCTTGTCGCCGTGGTGTTTGATTTATGGATCTGTGTCGAGGTCTATGCACCGCAAAGTAATCCACCACCACAACAGTAGGAGGCGACGATTCAACACAATTTAATGACAGTGAAGATTCATTCTGTTTACAAAATGAAGCAGGAAAACAGAGTCCCAGAAATGTCTGTAGAGGCGATGTAGAGACGACCAATCACAGATCTTATTGTCTGCGTCGCTTTCCCGTGCTGTCTGCATCGGTTCAACGTGTAGTTACAAAATTTCAGAGGTGCACGTTGGTCGACGCAGACGCTCTGTGGAGGAGGTTCACGGCATCACACACTCTCTGTGTTGTGATGCAGACGATTTGACGCACAAGAATAAATTGGGCTTTACCATGAGTGGGCTCGTTTCTCCACAGATCTGATCAGAAATTTAACCTGGTGAAATAACTTGCTTGTTTCCTTCTTTTCCTTCCAGAAAAGTTACACAGTGCTTCTTTAAGACTTAATACAAAATCTCAAATCAAACTTGGATTCTGAATGGTTGTAAATGGCAAATCTCAGCCTGTGATTAATCTGTATGATGACGCTTCATATTTAAGCCTTTCTCTCAAATCTGTTTGAGATTTTAAATTAAAATTTAAAATTAAATTTAAATTAAACTCCTGAATGAGTTTAATTTAATTTAAAATCTATTCAAAATGCTTGTCTAAAAATCACAATTATTCTTTCCTCATTTTTCAACCTTGAATTCAAATCGTCCTCTTTTTCCTCTCAGACCCAGACCCGTCAGACCCGTCGTCATGTCTTCCAACTCGACTCCAAACGTTCGAATCCTGATAAAAGGAGGTAAAGTGGTGAACGATGACTGCACGCAGGAGGCAGACGTCTACATCGAGAACGGGATCATCCAGCAGGTGGGGAAGGAACTGATGATTCCAGGGGGGGCAAAGGTCATCGACGCCTCTGGAAAACTGGTGCTGCCCGGAGGGATCGACACCAGCGTGCACCTGGACCAGACCTTCATGAACGCCACCACCGCCGACGACTTCTACAGCGGCACAAAGGTGAGGGGCCGGGGATGTGACGTTAAAGGGACACTCTGTAACTTTTCTGGTGAGGGGTCGGACTAATAATAAGAATGGTAGACACTGAAAGGGATTAACAGTGAATTATTCATTATTGATCCACAAGGGAAATGATAGGAACCAGGAGTCACACATCACAATATAATAGAATAACAAAGAGTAAAATTACAAATGGTAATAATAAATTCTAAAGAAGAAGCAAAAAATAGCAAGAGACTGGTGTCAAATAAGACATAATTTTATAAATGTAAATGTACAAGTCAAAATAAGTATGATACTATTGTAGCCACAGCTGCCCTGGGACAGACTGACTGGAGTGAGACTGCCCATCTGCACCATTAGCCCCTGGGACCACCACCACACTCACACAACACATTCCTACAGTAGTAGGCAGGGTTGGTGAAGTGTCTTGCTTAAGGACCACTGCTTTAACCACTGAACCACTGAACCAGTGTCACTATTATGACTGTTTTCCCTCTATAACCTCAAATAGGTCATAGTGTCTTGTTCTCGAGTGACGGGAGGATGGAGCGTGAGACTGACAGGTGGATCAGTGCAGCGTGGGCAGTGATGTATTGGACTGTATCAGACCGTTGTGGTGAAGAGGGAGATGAGCTGAGAGGTCGTCGGGCTGTCAGTCTCTGTTCCTCCCCTCACCTGTGGTCATGAGCTCTGGGTAATGACTGAAAGGGCGAGATCACCGATACAAGCGCTCGAAATGAGTTTCCTCTGCAGGGTGTCTGGGCGCTCCCTTAGAGACAGGGTGAGGAGCTCAGTCACACGGGAGGAGCTCGGAGTAGAGCTGCTGCTCCTCCACATCGAGAGGAGCATCTGTTCTGATGCCTCCTGGGCGTCTCCCTTGGGTGGTGTTCATGTCCCACTGGGAGGAGGCACCAGGGAAGACCCAGGACACACTGGAGGGACTGTGTCTCTGGGCTGGTCTGGGAACCGGGGTCCCCCTGGAGGAGCTGGAGGAAGTGTCCAGGGTGGAGGAAGTCCAGGAGTCTCTGCTTTAGACTGCTGCCCCCACAGCCCGGCCCCGGATAAGAGGAAGAAAATGGATGGACCTGAAATAGGATTTTTAGTACTTTGACTTCTAATAGAAAATCTTGTGTTTGAGTGAAGCTGCAGGAGGTAAACAGCACATCTCCCATCTGCATCTGTTATTTTACTCAGAAGTAGCAGAGTTGAATCTTATTATGTTATAACGAGGTTCTCTCATCATTAGCTTACTCTCAATTCTATTAGAGGTCATTTATTTGGCCTGTCATAATAACAACATAACATAAAATTCTGTGTGAATTCTGTGCATCTACAACACAGACTCAGTATGCAGAGAGTCTGTCCCAGTCGACTCACAGCCCTGTGTGTGTTGTGTGTGTGTGTTGTGTTTGTGTGTTGTGTGTGTGTGTTGTGTGTGTTATGTGTGTGTTGTGTGTGTGTTGTGTGTGTGTTGTGTGGGGTCAGTGTGTAGCAGCTGGAGTTTGTATTCTTCTCTTTATTCTGATGTGAAGGAAAGTGGGTCTAACGCTTCACCTCAGGGCACATCATGACTCCACTGTGACTGTGAGAGAAGAAGAGGCAGAGGAGGAAGAGGGGGCAGAGGAGGAAGAGGGGGCAGAGGGGCAGAGGAGGAAGAGGGGGCAGAGGAGGCAGAGGAGGCAGAGGAGGCAGAGGAGGAAGAGGAGGCAGAGGAGGCAGAGGAGGCAGAGGAGGAAGAGGAGGCAGAGGAGGAAGAGGAGGCAGAGGAGGCAGAGGAGGAGAGGCAGAGGAGGAAGAGGAGGAGAGAGGAGGCAGAGGAGAGGCAGAGGAAGAGGAGGCAGAGGAGGAAGAGGAGGCAGAGGAGGAAGAGGAGGCAGAGGAGGCAGAGGAGGAAGAGGGGGCAGAGGAGGCAGAGGAGGAAGAGGAGGCAGAGGAGCAGACTGTCACACTGACCCGATTCACCCATGAACTCAAGTCAACCATTATTCGTCCTCATTTGTTGTCACACTGATGATTCATGCTGAAGTAGGTCACAGATTACATAGAGTCTTCTAATTATAGTCCGTGCACAGTGAATCTCAGTCTCCTTCCTCATCGTCGTGTGCCATACCTCGCACTGTCTCCATGGAGACCGTGTGACTGCTGCAAAATGCTGCAAACTGCTCTTTTCACGCCCCCTTT